TTGTTAGTTCACCCCTTTGAATCTCTCTCTCCTTTAAAAAATTCTTTAAAATCAGTGGATTACCAGAATGTTCTGGAACTTAGGGGGCTTGCACTGGTAAATGTGTCATCCAAGTGTTGCTATTTTCATCCCAATAGCCATACATCAGGGAAAGAGGAGCCTCACCATTTCCCCCATTGAAACCAATGGCCAGATCTTCCAAAAGTGAAAATCGAGCTTCTTGCTGCATATCCGAGAAATGGCATTTTCCCCCTCCAAATTTAGGGAATTTCCTAAAAAAAAAAAAACCCAGAATGGGAGTCCAACCGAAAACAGGACCAAAAATGGGATGCATTTTTCCCAAAATTGCACACCCCAAAGTATTTGACTTTTTAAAAAACAAATTGCTGCTAGAAATGTGAATTGTAACAATAACAACAGAGCAACAGAAGTATGGGAAGGCTGGCTTTTAAGGGTATGGGGAAATATGAACAAACATGGGACCACAGACTGGCAAAGTTGTGCAATTGCATAAATGGAGAGAAGAGCAATAATGAGGATATTTGTGCTCATTCATGCCTATAAAACTATTATTCCACTTTAGCTACCATGGGAACCTCCTGAGGAATTCTGGAGTTTGTCGTTTAGTGAGGCCCAAGAGCTCTCTGACTGAGAATTTTAAATGCCTTTCCCAGACTGCAAATCTCTGGATTTCATAGGATGTTGCCACTGCAGTTAATGTGGAACAATAGCCCTATAATGTTATTAGCAAGAAGTAAATTTTAAATAGGTTTTTTTTGGTAAATCTTATGAACATTAGTGGTGCTGGGCCTGAGATTCTGCCTCTTGATCCCATCCTAAGAGGATACAATTTTATTTCATTTTACAGTAAAGGTTTAGAACGAATTGCATTTTTTTGGTTGAGTCTGTGTCGTTGGTCTTCTCTACAGGACAGATTTCATTCCAAAACATTTAGCAAAGTCTGTTCATTTATGGATTAAAAGGCATACAAAGTTCTTTTTTTTGGCATCATCAAATATTTTGCTATCTGTGCTGAGAATGCAGGTTATGCTGTTCGACTTAAAGCTGATGGAAACCCATTAAGACTTTTTAGCTGTAAGGGAACTCTCATGCTTCAGGGCATATGCTGATTGCCTTCAGGGGTCAGAAAGAATTTCCCCCTCTATGAGAGATCAGTGTAACATTTGCTAATGCATCTAGCTAAGACATTTTGCAATCCTGTAGCTTCGGGCAGACCCAGGCCCATCCTGTAAAAAGAGCATATCTAGTTCCCTTGATCAATGAACAAGTGCTGAATTGGCAACTTGCTCTTCTCCTCTGGAGGTTAATAGTACAGTGCCACAGAAATAGAAGACATTTTGTTGCATGCTCAGAACAGATGCTTGGTAGATCATGGCAAATGTTAAAAGCAAATTTATTACATAAATGTTCATGTACCTTAAGGAACTTTTCTCATAAGTAAATCCAAATTTAGTATTTATTTCCTGTGATCAAGCCATCTATGCCAGATAGTGCTAAACACATCTTAGTTCCATTGATACAAAAAGCCTCCATTACTTTTTGTAAAGTCTATTTTTTTCAATCACAAATTTGGTCCTTTCCATTTTAATGTCAGCTTGTGAATATTCTTTGAATCCCAGACACATATTCATATGGATTTGGGCTATGTGAAAATATTCATAGTGCAGAGTTTGAAACAGTATGAGGTTTTCCACACTTTTGCTCAGTCACTAATCAGATTGGAGATTGCAGTCAAGAAATCAGAAGACTGGGACTTTAAAGAGTCCGCTATGACAGAACTAAACAGGATCCTGAAATCTACAGATATGTTAATGTTGTCTATGCCATTACTTTTGTAATCTCAATGTGATTATGAAAGATGGACAGTTAAGAAAGCTGATGGAAAGAAAATCAAGACATTTGAAATATAATGCTGGATAATTCTATGCATACCATTGGACTGCTAAATGGGCCCAATACCAAATCTAAACTCTCCTTAGAAGCCAGGATCACTACACTGAAATTTTAAAACGTTGACCATATCATGAGAAGACAATGCCCATTAGAAAAACAATAATGGTTGGTAAAATATAAGGCAGTAAAAAAAAGGAAGATGGATCGACTCAGAACCTCATCATATGAGGAAATTTTAGCATCCTAGGATGCTTTTACCCCAGTTGAGCTACAGAGCCTCACACCACCCATCAAACATCACAGGCTCACTTCCAGCAGGGCTCTGTGGCTCAATTGAGGTGAAAGCATACTACAATCCTGTGCCAGCAATACGGGAGCCTCCCCATATCCATTAGAAACAATGGGGCTAGTGTGGGTGAAGGCATGCAGTGATGCTTCCTCACATGTGATGCTCCATTGCCCCTCTGATTTGCCACAGATGCTGGAGAATCTGAATGTGGGACCTCATCAATGTGATGAGGTCCTCAATCAAGAAAATCACATCCCCGAGTCTACAAGACTTGAACAGGACTGTTAATGACAGGATGACCTGGAGGTCTATCATTCATAGGTTCATCATAAGTCATCATAAGTCATCATCATCATCATCATCATAAGTAGATGATGACTTGACAGCCGTAAACAACAACAGCACATTTTATAAGCATTTTCATCAATGTTATGTTTTTTTAGAGATCAGTTTTACTTAATGTTATGCATGCTCGATGGGGGAATTATATCATAACATTTGGATAAATACAAAAATTAAAGGATCCAATCCTTATATTATCTAGAGAAGTGCAAATTCAATTATCACATTTTAAAAGATGATGTAACTTTATCTACTTATCACACACACACACAAAGCAAATTCAGAAGAGGTAGCCCAAATTTCCCTAGGTTGCACTTTGTAGCTTTACACTGTTATACTATGTGGCAACAGCCTTTTCCTAATGCTCAGTTCAGCTGTAGTATCAGAGAGATGCTTGTGACAATTGCTTTTGAAATAAGCCATTATGATAAGGAAGAGAAGAACTGTAGATTTTGCTCTCTTCTTTGGCACATCCATCTACTATACAAAGGGAAGAATCTCACTGCTGCTTTAAATGTGGCATCATTATCCTAAGTCAACATCTCTACCTAGTTATTTATTTATTTATTTATTTATTTATTTAAAACTTTTATATCCCAATCTTCTCCACCTCCATAGAGGGACTCAGACTGGCTCACAGCAAGGGTTCAACGCAATAATAAACATCATATGACAACAACAAAAAAAATAAAATACAAATAGCATAATATATATATAAGCCAAATCACCAAAATAAAATCATATCCAACTCAGTCTGCATGTCGTCGATAACTTAGTCTTTAGCGAGTCTCAGCCATTATTCTGGAAATGCTTCATTCCATAGCCAGGTTTTCACTAGTCTCCTGAAGGACAGGAGGTTAGTTACTAAAACTTGCACTGTTACTTGAATTCAGAGTGTAAACCTTATGATCTTTTCGGTATTAAAATATTATTGCTAAACAGCTTCTAAAGTGGAGAGTACTAAAAACAAATTTGTAATCATTCAAATGTTCTAAAAACTCATTAGCTGGAAGCTTAAATTAGCAATAATAGTAATCTTTTGAAGTAAAGCCATGGCATAGAAATTGACTCATCTGTGCTGCTTCTCTATATACAGGCAATGGGATCAGATAGCTCCCTCAGATTTCTGGGTGCTTTGGCAGGCATACATACAGGAGTAAAGAGTATAGTTGGGGTTCCTTCAAATAAAAAGCCTTTGAAATCAAATCAATATCTAGAAACACTATGGCAACAGAGATGGAAATTGTACAGTACTGCTGATGTTGTTGAACTTCAACACTCAACATTCTTCACCTTTGGCTATACGAACTAGGACTGCTGAGAGTTGATGTTTAATAATATCTTGAGGTACCCATAATTCCCATCCTGGTGTCATATGATCTGATTGCTCCATGTTAAACACTAATAAGCTAATTCTGGATCAATTGGAGATACCATACTATCTTGAAATTGAGTTTACGGCAAAAAACAACAGTTATATGGGAATTGCTGGAGGGTGTAGTGCCAGCGCTTTTCCCCATGAGATCCCAATTAAGGTCAAAGTCCTTGGGACGCCTTGAGATTCTGCCAGAGGCAGAGATATGAGGCTCCCCACATAAAGTTCTTGACATGCAAAGTACAGATTTACTCCCGCCACCCAACAAATCAAAAAAGTCATCCTGATATCTCCATATAACATCATCTTCATGGAACTCTATTCACTTACTTAAAACTTTGACTATTAGAATTACATTAGTGCCTTTCAGTGGTATGAAACATTATGACCAAAAGTATAGTCAGCTTGTAACATATTGCTTTGGAGTGATCACAATATTTTACCCCCTAGGATTTATTCTAAAAAGTGCCTATTACTTTAATTATGCTGAAAACCCATGTTTTATTAAAAGCTATCCTGCTGCAAATTCTGTTGTGCTCTTTCTCAGTGAAAGCAGAACTACTTTGCATTTTAGCAATGCTAATGAATTTTCAGTGAGAATAAAATGTATATTCTATTTTTTTGACACTGTTGCCATGAATGTTGGCTTCCAGCCAGTGTTTATTTAATTGATCAACATTTTGGGCTGGCTTGAAAATATCTCTATCTCTAACTGATTTTCTTTGATTAAACAAGCACTAACAGACCACTTGCTTATGTTCAAGTGCATTAAAATAATATAGCTGCCTGGTATGTAGTAATGCACTTTTTCCTGTTTTATGGAGAATGATACTCCTAGAATGAAGGAAATGGAAATGGCCCAAGCTGAACACATATATAAATTATGCCAGTCTTTTCCAAACAAACTCTTCATTTCTGTGTTGCTAGTATACAAGTTGAAACTGGGGTGAAACCAATAAGATTTCCACAAAGCTGAAATCCACAAAAATCCAAGGTAAAATACATTCCCAGATTGCTGTCACAAGCTATGCCAGTATCCTGCTCCCGCTACAACATTTTATATAAAGTTGATATACTTACACAAACAGGCGTATTCCCCACAAAGACAATCAGAGATAAAACTGGCAAATAAACAAAACAGTTAACCATCCTTGTTTTAACACTATTTTCTTCCTTTTGGGGGACTACTTTTTTCTTGCTTCCTTTTTTCCTCTTTTAAGCCAACCCTATTTTGTCAAATAAGAGTTTTGTGTCTTGCAAATGATTAACTACACTTTCAGTTTTGATCTTCCTGATTCAGCAAATACTACTTCTAGACAATTTCCCCAGCATAACTTTCTCAAGAGCAAATATTTAGGGACATGGCATATATACACAGAATCTACATCTATATATATGTATTTGCCTCCAAGTTGCCTGCCATTGTCAACTTATGGCAATCCCATTAATTTCATAGGGTTTACTTAGGCAAATAATACTCAGAAGTGGTTTTGACAGTTCCTTCCTCTGAAATATAGCTTGCATCTATATCTATATCAAATTTAATTCCTTTCATTTCAAGCAGCTTTGTCCAGCTTGTTGCTGCTCATATGTTTTATACCACAATTCCCATAAATGTTAACTATTGGCAATAATGTGAATTTGTACTCCCGAACATTTGAAAGGCAAAAAGGTTGGAATGCTTGTTGTTTAAGTATATTATAAGATTCAGCAGTCTGACTCTTAGACTAGAAGACATATCTAGATCAGGTTGAGATAGGAAGTTGTTTCTGTTCATCATTTTAATTGGTTGCTCTTGCTCTTTGAGAAAATCACATCAAATTTAAGCACTTCCATTTTTTTAAGCTATTATGAAAGCATTCCTATCCAGTTTTTCTGCTTACATTAGATTCAAGTGGTTAAGGTTGCATTTCTGAACCCACTTACTGGGGAATACCCCCAGTAGAGCATCTAATTAGATGAAACAAGATGATATTTTGTTATCAAATAAAGAAGGTACATGCATGAGCAATGATACATAATGTGAAACGTTTTTGTTGGGTACAAGGTTAATATGAGCTAATAGCACAGTGTGGCTGCTCTAACAGTGCAATCCTAACTCAGCAAGAGGGCCAAAAGTTGGCTGAAGCAATGGGGAAGTGGTGTTATAAAAAATAAAATAGCCAATAAAATTAAAATCTAGTAAAACAATGAAATAGTAATATCAGACAAGCTATAGAACAGTGGTTCTCAACCTGGGGTCCCCAGATGTTTTTGGCCTACAACTCCCAGAAATCCCTGCCAGTTTACCAGCTGTTAGGATTTCTGGGAGTTGAAGGCCAAAAACATCTGGGGACCCCAGGTTGAGAACCACTGCTATAGAACTAGCAGACTAGAATTAAAATACAAATACAGTATGATGCACACAGATTCTTGTATCCACTGGTGATAACTAGAAGTGTGCAAGAAAAATTGGATGAATCAGATTTTGGAAGAAAATTGCAAGTTTTGTAACTGAGAAGTCATTCTGATGCTTTTGCACGGCCCACACAAAAAACTTAAAAATCAAAACCGATCCTCATAGTTTTTCATGTTAGTTTCATAAAGCTCAGAAGGCTCCAAAAGTCAATTTTCTTCAGTGCAAGACAAAAAAGCTAGTGAAAGGAAGCATAAGAAAACTAACAAGCTACCATACCTGCCTCCTTTGCCATTCCTCTCCATGTAAATTAATGGTTTCTTGGCATGAAGACAGGGGGCATAGCATTTTGGGAACAGCACAGAACTTGAGATATGTAGTTTGGGAAGGGAAGGGAAGGAGCCCTATGCCAAAGAATTCAAAAGGTCCTACCCTAAACTACATTTCCCAGTATGCATCAGAATCAGAAAACACCAATCAGAAGAGGAGAGAGAGATTTGTCCCTCCCTAAACAGCTTTTACCATTTTTTTTAAAAAATCCCTAAAATCAATAGATGTATGAGTATTTCTGAAATTTGGGGGAATGCTCCCCTGTTATCTTGTGTCATTGGATAGAAAATTCAAGAAGCTAGCTCTTGTAGGTTTTTTTAAAAAAAAATGAAAATTGAAAAATTGAAAATTTCGCAAAGTAAGTAATAAGTGAAACATTCTGAAATTTGGTGGGCTAACAGTGGTAATTGTGTTCTATCATTGTAGCAAGTTTCACCCCAATAACTTGAAATAGTAATGAAATTTCATTAGTCTCATTATAGTAACGAAATTTTAACTAAGTATTATTTATTTATTTATTTACTGTATTTCTATACCACTTTTCTCACCCCTATGGGGACTCAAAGCGGTGTACAGCATAATAATTGGAAATGAAGCACCAGTGCCATCCCATTTTGTAAGTACTTTTGAACCATTTTTATGGATTGCACATGCCTAGGGGATACAGTTGAAGGAACAAACACTTCCATGTTAGAAGATAATGCAAAGCCTAAATGACCAAAGGTAGAGATGGCATAATGGCACTGCAAATCCTTATTTGGGCAAGGTTTGGATAACTGGTCTCCAAGATTCTGTTTCTTTAATTGTCAGCTGTCAAACTCAAAAGCTCAGGACGCATCTACACTTTGGAATTAATTCATATTTTGCACCACTTAACTGCTATGGAGTCACTTGCAGTGTGGCAAGACATTAGCACTTTGGCAGAGAAGGTTAAATCCCTGTAAAACTGCAACATGTTTATCATTTTTAATAATGTACAATTTTATCTGCTTCTGTTTTCATCTGCACTTGTTTTTAACCTTGTTGTGAACTCCCTTGAGCTCCAGTTATGGGAGATGAAAGTCAAGTAAGTAAGTAAAGTCAACCCAGCAGATTTGTTGTCCACATAGCTGTTAATATAAGTTTGTTCATCAAGAAGAGTGTATAATCTCTGCCATATTGAATTTTCTATGTTTTCAATCTTACAAAAGTTTCCATAAATAAGGTAACTTTGTCAAGTTGGAAAGACAGAAAGATGAAAGGAATGTAATAAAGCACAGCTTTATGTAATCTGTCCTTGACTAAGATGAGGTGTACTGAATTTTAATAGAGCCCTGATTCATCAAATCTCAAACAGAATTAAGGTATGGACTGGATCCTAATAACAACATGCTTTATACCCATGAAAGATAAATTAAAGGATGCAAAACTGCTATTGACAAACATTGATTATATGTACTTTGAAAGACTTTGAAGTTGTGCCAGATGCATCTTGTCAGCCTCCAAAGTTTTATTTGAAATCTCATTGCATAAGGCTTTTACTTTTTAATTATTTTTTCTCAGACTCTTTGATCAAATGAAATGTAGATCATATTTGGGTGTTGCCACCTCCTATGCTTTCTATTAAGATATGCCCTTGTGCATCACTTCAGCTACATCTTTGCAAAAGTTAGATACTTCGTAATAAATTTTATCTGTTATGCTGAAGTCTATTTACTTTTTAATCTACCCTCTCAGATCTGTGGACCAAATAATACAGCTCAGGTTTTGCATCTATTTTTATATCTAGACTGTCATAAATGACTTATATCTTAGGTTTGGTGGATAATAAACCTGATCCAGAACAAACAGAGAAAGCTATGCCTACTATTGGTATCTGGTTACTGCCTTAGTATATAGCTAGAGAAAGTAAAGTTGGTGTAAAAGAATTAATACATTTACTTAAAATGTAAAAAACAAACAAAACCAAAACATAATTAGAATAGGGAGAAAATAATTATTCTATTGAAATTTAACGTAGATCAATTGTGAAGCTGGACAATGCCATTAACACCCACACACATCATCATCATCCCTGCTTTGACTTTGGAGAGTAGATAACACCAACATTTGAAATTTTGTATCACGCTTAACTTGTCTCTTACAATTGCATCTCCCCAATGTTTTAGTGTTCTTATTTCCAATGGGATCTTAGCAAATGTCCCAGGTTTATGAACGTCAAAGCCCAGTTTTCCTGAGTCAAATAAGGTGTCTCGTGTATAACACAGGAACTATGTTGCCCTACAACTTATCTATTTGTTGTTTAAAATCTTTTGACCTTGAAATTAGTTGAATTATCATATGACAGTCCTGAGCAATAGCCATTTGGTATTTGCTGTAGCCATTTACATTTATGAAAATACCAGCTAGGAAATGTAAATGTTGATGGCCTCTCATTTAATTAATAACTGATTTAATTAATACTTTAAATTAATCACTTTAAAATAAATGTAATTAAGCTGTCCCTTTTCATTTATGTTATAAAAACGTAATTGATAACTTAATTGATTTAGTGAGTTCCTTTCATTACAGCTGTTGAATTTTTGACAAAATATCTGTGGTACAAATGTGTAGTCAGGTGCTCTTGAATATAAGCTACAAAACAGTTCAGAGAGATAGATAGGGGAATATTTCAATTTACATCCTGTGGCTGAGAAAGCTGAAAGAGAAACAAAACAGTGACCTCAGTGCTTATGTGTGATTTGTTCAATTTCATAGACACTAGCTATTGGACTACAGTAGTTTCTACAGAAATGCAGTGAATTTCAATGAGATTTGGATGACAAAACTATCAAGGTGCCTTTGAAAATATCTGCCAATGCAAAGTAAAAAAAGAATATCTGTGTGATCACATAATATCTTTGCATCTATGATACCAGGTGATACCTTCAACAGATTTTGATGCAACTGCAGAATAACAAGAATAATATATATTCACATACAAACAAATCCACACACTAACACACTGGGACTACCACCACCAGGAACCACACTATATAATCTCTTTAAAATGTATAAACAAAATACATTTCTAAAAATGTCTTTCCAATGTGAAATTTCCACTGAAAATGTTTGAGTTTTCAAATTATACTCAGAGTGGTAGGCTCCTTCTGTACAAAATTCACATACAGCTCTCTCTCTCTCTCTGTGTGTGTGTGTGTGTGTAGAAAGGAGCAACTATGCTGGAAAATTCTGGTTTCTGTGCAGAAAATATTGTAATTCAGACTTGTTCTGAAATTGAAACTCACACTTTTTGAATGGGCTCATCATTCTTATTGTAGTTGATCTGTCCATTAACACTGAACTGAACTGAATGGAAAATAAAATGTATGAAAGGGTACATGTTGTTCATATTCATGCTACCTTCAAGCTTTGGCTACATGACCACCTTTTAGATCTCTTTGTAAGTAAACGAAACTGGATTTCAAAATGCTACATTCAGCAAAGGACAAGAGGGATCCTCTCACCTCCACAGGAGTCTAC